TATAAACAACAGAAATCTATTCCTCACAGTTCTGAAGTCCAAGATCAGGCACTGGCAGATTTGGTTTCTGATGAGAACCTTCTTCCTGGCTGTCTTTTAAATATAACTTCACATGGCAAAAGCGACAAAGAAGCTCTCTGGGGTCTCTTTTATAAGGGTACTAACTCCATTCATGAAGGCTCTGCCCTTCACCACCCATAAGCTCTATCTTCTAGTACCATCATACTGGGGTTAAGTTCAGTATGAATTAGGAGGATATTCAATCTGTAGCATTCCATTTTGGCCCCCAAAATTAATGCCTCTCATACATGAAAAATACATTCATTTCATGTCAACAACCCCTGAAAGTCTTAACTTGTTCCAACATCAACTCAAAAGTCTGAGTCCAAAGTCTCATCTAAAAATCATCTAAACCAGATATGGGTGAGACTGAAGGTAGGCTTCATCCTGAGCCAATTCCTTCCCAGCTGTGAATCTGTGAAATCAAACATGTTATGTGCTTCCAAAACACAATGATAGGACAACATAAGATAGACATTCTGAATTCCAAAAGGGAGAAAGAAGAAAGAAATGGCAGGTCCTGATCAAGTCTAAAATCTTAAGGCTGGAGCAGAATCTTCTTTGTCTTTATATTCTGCCTTCCAAGCTGTGGTCCTGCTTCCTAGACCCACTGGGGTCCCACTCCCACAGCTCTGCCAGATAGCAGTTGGGCCCCAAAGGCTATCGATGGCTTTTCCTCCATGTCTTTGGGCAGCCCCCAACCCTACGACTGCTTGGAACAGACCACACCAGAGCTCTCAAAGGTTAAAGTCACATGCCTCTCCTGGGCTGGAAATGCCTGTAGGTGGCTACTGGTCATGAGTGCAGCCCCAGCCCCATAGCTCCACTGGAGCCTCTCTCTACAGAGATTCTCTGCCTGGGTCACGCACCAGGAAATCTGGGTGCAAGTAGCCTTGATCTCACGGCTTGTGTACTCTTTGCCCTGGCAGAGATGGCACCACAGGACAGCACCACACGGATGCAGCAAAATCTGCCGTCTGTGCCCTCTGGTGGGGTGCACACAGTCCCTGTACCACAAGGACTCACTGGAACTGCACCTGGGTCAATCAAGGAGCTTGGCAAAAATGCAGGGAGTGGAAATCCTTGAGGTGAGGCTAGGCACAGTCCCACAAGTGCCCTCAGCCCCTCCTTTGAAATCATTCTGACTAGCAGACTTAGTACTCTGGGTCTGTAATGGGGGTGGCAGACGGGATGATCACTAAATTGCCTTCTTCCATTGTCTTGAACAATAGTTCCTAAATTCAGTTTGGATGGTTCATTTTCTTATCAGACAGTTTTTTGGCCACATTCTTTGTATTCTCTCTCAAACAGTTCACCTACTTTTTAATATGGATAGGCTGAGAATTTTCCAGATCTTTTAAGTTCTGCTTCCTTTCTGATGAACAATTCTCTTTTCTCTCTTCTTACATTTTACTATAATAAAGAGAAGCTGCAATTTCAATACTTTGCTTAGATATTTCTTCAGCCAAATATCCAGTCATCACTCACAAGTTCTATCTTCCATGAAACATTTGGACACGTACACAATTCAGCCATGTTCTCTGCCACTTTGTAATAAGAACGACCTTTTCTCCATTGTCCAAGAACATGTTCCCCATTTCTATCTGAGACCTAATCAGAATGGCTTTTAACTTCCACATTTCAAACAAAGTTCTGGTCAAGTTATTAGGTATTCCCTAAGACTGAAGCTTTCTTTATAGCTCTCTTTTCTTTCTGGGATCTCAACAGAATCATTCTTAATGGGCTGTTCATTGTAATGTAGGCTTTTGCTAGCCCAAACCTCAAAATTCTTCCAGCCTCTCAAATCATCTAATCTAATCTAATCTTAGTTCCAAAGCCACTTCCACATTTTAAGAGCAGCACCCCATTTGGGCCACTATAACAAAAGTCCCATAGATTAGGTAACATATTGAGAATAGAAATTTATTTCTCACAATTCTGAAGGCCGGGACGTCCAAGATCAAGGTGCTGGCAGATTCACTGCCTGGTGAAAGCCCTTCTCCTGGTTCATAGATGGGTGCCTTTTTGTAGTAACCTCGTAGGGCAAAAAGGATGAGGCATCTCTCCGAGTCCCTTTTAAAGAGACATTGATTCCATTTATGAGCACAGAGCCCTTGTGACTTAATCACCTCTCAAAGGCTCCACCTCCTAACACTATCACATTTGGGGAGGACACAAATAATCGGTCTATAGCAATAATCAAATGTATGTTGGTTTTGGAAGTGGAAGTCCTAGGGATAAGGAAGGGAGGATAGTGGCAGATCAGTCTACGATTTGTTTTGGGCAAATGAACAGTGGAGTTAATAACTGAATAGGCTCAATAATCAAATAGTTTAAAATTCTAATAGTTTAAAAAAAAGAGAACACAAATACAGAGCAAGCTTGAGCTTTGGGGAATAGGAATAATACATTCTTTTTGGTCTGGAGTTTAAGATGCCTATGGATCTGCTAGATAGAGAATTTAAAGTTATGGGTCTGTTCCTCTAGAAAAAGTTCTAGAGCCACACAACAGAAAGTCAGAGTATCAGCTAGTTGCCAGAAATCCTAGGCATCTACTTTAATAACTGACCATCTGGATTTTATCAAATGTTTCTTTTAAAATAGATCAGAGATTTTCTAATCAACTAGTCAAAAGGCTTGTTCTTAAATATAAAGACTTGTCTAACCACTACGGATTTGTTTTCTAGTTCTTTCCCCTCATAGTCCCTAAATGTAGGCCTTTCCCAAAGTTCTGTCTTCAAACTTCCCTTTCTATTCTCATCCTTGGAGAGGTTCACTCAAATAGACAATCTCTCCTATGCAAATAGCTGCCAAATCTCCATCTCATGAAGTCTCACCTTCACACCTGTGTTCCAAGTAATTTTCACACTATCACCTTGATGCTCCTCAGACACCCTGTACTTGGGCCAAATTAAGTTTTCTTTACCTTCAAAAGTTTGTCTTCCCCATGACTGCAATTTCACTCACCCAGGGTCATCTTTGAAACTGCCCATTTCCTCATCCCCTCCATTTAAATAGTTGTCATTCTGTGGGGTGCCTGGGTGTTGGGTTATGATCTCATGGTTGGTGAGACAGAGCCCCACGTGGGGCTCTTTGCTGTGCATGGAGCCTGCTTAGGATTCTCTCTCTCCTCTTCTCTCTGCCCCTCCCCTATGCATGTATGTTTGTTTGCTCGCTCTCTCAAAATAAATAAATAAACTTTAAAAATAGCTGTCATTTTGTTACAACTTAAAAAACAATTTAAGTTTCTCTGTGTGTTTCCACCTTTTCAATCCTACTTACCTACAAACCTAGCTCAGGACACTGGCACATGCAGACTGCCCTAGGTAGCCTACTAACCAGCTAGTCTACTTTGTCTACCCACATTTATTCTTTCAACTCACTGATAATAGGTATATCTTAGAAATTCTTAATAATTGGTTATTATATAATTGTATATGTAATCATTATATATGTATATGGTATTCTATTGCTAACATCATTGGAAATAAGGTTTCCATATATATATCATCACTATATATATATATCACTATATATATATCACTATATATGTATATCACTATATATATATATATAGTGATGATATATATCACTACAATATAAAGTGATATATATATATATATATATATCACTTTATAGTTTGTGTTTATTAGCAGTCAGACCTAGATTACGATCCAAGGACATCAACTTAATAGCTGTATAACTTTAGGCAAATCATTTAATATCTTCTCATTTTAAAAGTGGGAATAACACTTAGACTTACTTCATGGCATGTTCTTAAAGTTCAATAAAATAATGCACATAGGGTACATAGCAAAAGGCAGATCACACAGTACACGTTCATTAAATGAGGGGTAGTATTATTTTCTCCTATCAGTCTTTCAAACTACATCAATTTACATCAGTTAATATTTTCCAAACACACCCAGTGTGTCTGTCTCTCTACCTTTGCTCATTTTATCCTCCTTACTCTATCTTATCCTGTAAATTGCTGACTTCCAAGATCCCCTTCATCTACCATCTCTTTCAAGAAGTCTTTCTGATACCCACAACCAGCTGCAATTTCTCCCTGCTTGCTTTCATGTTCTTTTAACTTCTGGTATTTACAGCATTCTAGCTCATATTATAGTGTTCCTAAATATTTCTCATCATTAGACTGTGAGCTCTCTGAAGGCAGAAACATTTTTATATCTCCAGCAGTGCAGGAGCTGATGATGGAAATATTATTTTCTGATCCCCAAATGCCTAAATAATAATTTACCTGCAGGCATTTTTCATATCATTTCCCTAATTTTGCTCAATTTCTTCTATATTTCTGAGGGGCATCTAGCTAACAGATGGAAAAGAGATCAGTGAATACTGTTTTTGTTTGTAACAATACATCACAATGCATTACTAGTTAAATTACATTTCTTAAAGAGACTGCCAAAGCCTGTAAAACCCCACTAAATAGTTCTAAACAACTTTATACAGTATAATTACTATTACAGGTATTTGTAGCATTAAAGCAAAATTTATAAGCTAAAGAAAATTAGAAAAGTGCATATGGATTTGACATAAATTCTCCAAAGATTTCTGTATTCCATGAATGTTATTTGAGAATGTTGTAGTAGAGCTGGAAAAAATTACAAAATAAGATCATCTGTTCCTGAATTGAAATATTACAGTTCCATTGTTCAACACAACAAAGGTCTTTAAGATGGACTATAGCCAATAAGAGTCCTTGTGAAGCATCCATTTTTATTACAATGTATATGTATCTTGTGACTGATGAATCCCAGATGGCAAAATTACAACATATCCAAAGAGTTCTGAACAATATGAGAATTTAATGAGACAGTGTGAAAAAATACATACAGAATAGGGATGAAGATAAATGACTGCTTATAATAGAAATTGTTTTTATTCTTTGTATGTGAATGAGAAAAATGATTGTTCTTCCAAACAAACAAAAAAAGAGTTGTCGTCATTCTTTTGTTCTCCAACACTGCTGTTATAGGAAATGTTTCCATTTTTAACCACAGGCTATTCCAGATGATGCAACTCTTTTGGGTTTGAGAAAAGTAATAGTATCTGTATCAAGGTCTTTAGGCTTCAGGCATTTTAGTATCATAATTTCAATTTTCATCACTTCCATTTTCTAGATAATCTCTCACTGTAACAACAGATCATAAGACTGTAATACTGAACCTACTTCCAAAGAGAATTTGAATAAGGTAATTTTAATATTATGTATTATAATTTCATAATATTCAAGGGACAGCAAAAAAAAAAAAAAAAGATTGGGACTTGGTATAAAAAATGTAGTTTCTAATCTTGGTTTTGCAACTTTCTACCTCTGTAATTTCCAGAGGGCTTCAGCTTTCTTATCTGCAATGTAAGGAAAATAAAGCTAGATGGTCTCTAAAAAGTTCTGCTTTAAGTTTCTAGATTTCTCCACTCTAGCTGTTCCTCCTCAAAAATCCTCTACTCCCCCTGCTGGATTATCAGCTCCTGTGCTGTGTCCTTTTTAACCATGTAGCAGAGTCCAAATTTCATTAGCCACAGTTTTATCACATGTGTGTTATTAAGTCTCATTAGCTCTGAAGACTTGCTAAACCCTATTTGCTTTGTGTGTGCTGATTTCCAGTTTATTCTGTCTTCAGTTCATACATAATCTCCCTTTACCTGGCAAGCATATTATACTAAAAAGTACATTTCTTGTCAGTCATTAACACCCAGCACTCTTCATCACCTCTGATCCACATCCAGAGCCTTCAGTCTGATACCTTTTATTATCTCTCATGAAAGATGCTTTCATCACTATCTTCAAGACAATTAGATGTAGCAGATATGAATTTCCTGAGACAAATGTTGATAGAATTTTTCACTGTCCTTTCTACCTAACCAGCTCAGTATGATATCAGCTCTGAAGTCAGAAAGTCTAAGAGGAGTCCAGAATCTACCAATTACTGGTTATACTACTTTGGGAAAATCATCTAACCTCTCACAATTTTATCTCCAAAATTATTATTTCATAAAGAGGTTGTAAAAGATGAATTTAAAAAGACAGGTGTATGCAACAGAGAACAGTTAGTAAGTAAAATGCTTTTGTATTAGGAACGTTCAAGTTTGGAAGTTCCCCCAACATTCTCAGAGTTGGAATTTGTTGTTGTTGTTGTTTTTTTTCCTTAGGAAGATTCCATGAAAAAAAAAAAAAAAAAAACCCAAAATATGGAGAAGGGAGATGAGGTCTGTATTAAAAAAAAAAAAAAAAGAAAGAAAGAAATATGAGCTCTACTGGAATGAATGTTAAGAGGTGGCATATCAATTCAGCAAAGTTTAAAACCAGATAAATCTATGATTTTAAAATGGTAAAGAATTATTGGAAATTGGTATACACTACTGACAAAAGTACAAATTGGCACAAACTTTGGGAGGTAGATTTTGCAATATGTACCAATGACCTTTAAAATGTACACACATAGTGGGATGCCACATAGTGGCTCAGTTGGTTGAGCATCTGACTTCGGCTCAGGTCATGATTTTGTAGTTTGTGAGTTCGCACCCTGCATTGGGCTCTGGGCAGACAGTTCAGAGCCTGGAGCCTGCTTCAGATTCTGTGTCTCCCTCTCTCTCTGCTCCTCCCGTTTGTGCTCTGTCTCTTCATCTCTCTCAAAGATATATAAACATTAAAAAAATATTTTTACCCATATAGGAATAGTATTTCATCAAAGTTAAGTTTTGATAATTACATTATGGTCATGAAATAATAAAAGATGTCTTGTGTTTGGAAATGCACACTGAAATATCAAGTGATAGAGAGGCGTCATGTCTGCAACTTACTCTTTGAAACACTCTATTCTTTGCTGTGTGTGGTCTAACCGTCTGTTGCCAGCAAGCTGCATCAAGAATGCAAGCTGCATCCCCACGACTATCAGTGAGCTGAGGAAATGGGGACAGTAGTTGGGTCTGATGATTCATTTTATGTATCGGCTAGGCTGGGCAAGGGTACCCAAATGTTTGGTCAAATATTATTCTGGATGTTTCTATGCAGATGTTTTTTGGATGACATTAACATTAAACTGATGGCTAAATAAAGCTGACTACTCTCCATAATTTGGGTGGCCTTCATCTAATCACTTGAAGGCCCTAGTAGAACAACTGACTTCTCTAAGGAAGAAAGAATTTTTCCAGCAGACTTTGGACTTGAAATGCAACTCCTCTAAGTCGTCAGCCTTCTGGCCTGCCCCATCAGATTTTGGACTCACAAGTCTCTACAATCACGTGAGCCAGCTCCTTAATACAATGATTTCTCTCTCTATAAATACATCCTGTTGAGTCTACTTCTCTAGAGAACCCTGATAATACAGTGGGTAATTACAAATGTCACATAGCTCACTTATTAAAATTTAGTAGCTTCTTTACTAAGCACTCTTCTAGGTACTGTCCACTTCTTATTAAATTCCAAAATTAGATTCCAGATTTCTAAAGATGCTAATTCTGACAGTATTTGTTGGTTTAAACATTGCTTTAGTGGAGAGACATATTTTTTAGAGTTCCTTATTCTACCATTTTTACGAATATCACTATAACTTACTCTTAATTCAATATGTTATTTTCAAGCATATATCTGATATATATATACCAAATATGCATATATATGAGACATATATACATATTTGATATGGAAAACCTGAGTATAAAATAAACCAAGATTCTTTTTTCTTCATAAAACTTTTTTATAAGTCTGAAATTATATCAAAATACAGCAATTTTTTAAAATGTAGTAGCTACCTTGGACACTGGTTCAAGAAAGAAGACTGAATATATGCCAAGCCTTTTCATCCTATCCCAAGTGGCAGAAAATTACAGAAGAGTAGACTTCTATATTTCTTAAAATATAATAATAAAGAAAAGCAGTATTTATCTTCAGATCTTCAGACACTATGAGGAATCCTTTCATGAAAAAAATAGACAGGAAAGTAGAGAAGAAAGCCACAGCCCCACACATACACAGAAGAAAATTCCTATAAAGGTGAAAGTTGGTCCAGGTATGTGCTATGCCTACAAATGTCAGATAATGAACACAGGAGGGACCTGGGACAAGCAAAAGAGCAACTGGTTGGAGTCCCAAAGTAGAGATAGGACTTTAGGACTCATCTTTCTTTGGACCGGGCAGCAAGCAGCAGAGAGGTCTATTGTCACACAGAGCAGAGATAGCTGATGCTCGGGAAAGAGGTCAAAGAGGAACTTCAGGAGGCTAGCAGCCTCAGCAATGGGGAATTGTTACTACCCAGAAGCAGCTACTGGCTCACTCCATCCAAAGGTTTTATCCCATCCCTCCTCTTTCCATATACAGAGAAAAGCTAAAGGAAACAGAGACTTCATAAACAACCCTAAATACATAGTTAAGCATTCAATCACAATAATCAAAAAGAAAAGCCAATAATGAAAGGGCAGAAACAAGTCCAACAAAAGGCAGAACTCATTACCTATAAAACATAAGCTTAATAATGTAAAAAGGATAGTATTTTAAAATATCTAATAACTTAACAAAGATATAAAAGGATATTCATTTTTAATAAAAATAACAGAGGGGCGCCTGGGTGGCTCAGTCAGTTGAGCATCCGAATTCTGATTTCAGCTCAGGTCATGATCTCATGCTTCATGGGTTTGAGCCCCATGTCAGGCTCCACGTGGACAGTATGGAGCCTCCTTGGGATTCTCTCCCTCCCTTTCCCTGCCACTCCCCTGTGCACACATGTATGTGCATGCTCTCTCCCTCTCAAAAGGAATAAATAAACTTAAAAAGAAATAACAGAATATCACAGAAATTTAAAATTTGACCACTGAAGTTTGAAAAACCAACCAGTATGCTGTTAAGGTGATTTAAAAGAAATCGGTGAGCTGCAAGATTGAACTAAGGGTTCTTCACCGAATACAATCCAAACTTAAAAAATGATGTATAAGAGAAATTGATAAACCAGGAAACAAGAAAAAAAAAACAAATAATAAAGAACCAGTAGAATTGATCAATATAGCCTTCCACTAAAAAAAAAAAAAAAAGACTAAGGTGCCTTAAATAAGTCTTAAACAACAGAAAACAAATTCATTTCTCAAAGAATCACAGACTGGAAGTCTTTGGTTTGTAGATGGCTTCTTCTTACTATGTCCTTTCTCTTGAGTAGCCTTTCCTCAGTGTATATGCAAAGAGAGAGAAAGGATGGGCTTTCTGGTGTCTTTTCCTAAATGGATATTAATTCTATCAGATCAGGTTCTCACCTCTAGGACCTCACCTAATCCTTATGACTTTCTTGGAGACCCCATCTTTAAATACAGCCACACTGAGGATTAGGGCTTGAACATATGAATTTGGGGGACACAAAAACTTTAGTTGATAACAATCAATAAAGCAAAAGCTGGTTCTTTAAAAAAAGAAATTCAGGGGCACCTGGGTGGCTCAGTCGGCTAAGTGTCTGACTTCAGCTCAGGTCATTATCTCGAGGTTTGTGGGTTCAAGCCCCGAGCTGGGCTCTGTGCTGACAACTCAAGAGCCTGGAGCCTGCTTCGGATTCTGTGTCTCACTCTCTCTTTGTCCCCTCCCCTGACTGCTCTCTCTCTCTCTCTCATTCTCTCTCTCTCAAAAAGGAATAAACACTGCAAAAAAAGAACCAAAAAATTCAGAAATAAACTATATTAGAAATATAAATAGATGTTAGAAAAATTTAAAAGCTTCTAGAGGATACCTTGCATAGTTTTAACTCAAAAGGAAATTTAAAAAGCCATATAAGGAGAGCATAAGGAACGAAAAAAACTATGGCAATTTCATTTAGGAAAGATTTTAAAAATCTGAGCTAAAGCAGATTAGATTTGTAAAGTAAATCACATCTAATAGAATATTAAGAAAAAAAAAAATGATCATGGCCAAATAGGCAATGAGAAGTAAAAGTTAATTAGTTACAAGGCCGGTCCCCTGCAAGCTGGTCTGCCAAAAATGTGGCATCTTACAAACCCCCACTAAAAGTGACTATGGCCAGAGCCTCATGTAACCAATACTAGTCAACCATGATGTTCAGTCCCCACTGCCACCTCTAGGCATTCTCAAGTGAGGGGAGGGGCTGATGCTAACCCAATCAATCACTTATGCTGACGTGGCCTATTGGCGTGGCAAAT